TAACCGTTCTACCAATTTGTACCAAACTCGGTATGGTTATTGTGCTTGCCACATAAAAGCAAAGCGTTGAAAATTAATGAAATCGGACTAAAATTACGGCCGCTTTACATAGAACGGTAAATTTTAGAAATGCTTGAAACTTCAATATTTCGAAATTTAAGGACGCTAATTTACTCAAAATTGATACACCCCGGCTTACCATCTAGCGGAAGGTTTCGGAANAATTTGTACCAAACTCGGTATGGTTATTGTGCTTGCCACATAAAAGCAAAGCGTTGAAAATTAATGAAATCGGACTAAAATTACGGCCGCTTTACATAGAACGGTAAATTTTAGAAATGCTTGAAACTTCAATATTTCGAAATTTAAGGACGCTAATTTACTCAAAATTGATACACCCCGGCTTGCCATGTAGCGGTATCTGTAGGAAACGTGAAAAACATATATTTAATATTTCCGCCGGGTATTTAAAGTTCGGCTCCGCCCGAACTTAAACTTTCTTACTTGTTTGCTTAATATTTGCAATGTTTTTCAATAAAATTTTTTTTATTATCCTTTTATAAAAATGTGCTTCATGCTTTAATTAAAACTATACAAGTCAAATTTTTAAGCTTTGTACAGAACTTAGAAAAATTCAACGAACTTTCGTCTAAATTTTGACCTGTTTAATCTGAATATTTAGAAAAATTTTGAGTACCTACGCAAATACATATATCGGTTTTTTAATTCTAAGAAAACAAGTGTAAGTTTTAAGCGGCTAAAAAATTGCGTTGATATTTAATGATTTTTTATTGCTGACTGCTGTTTGCACTTTTGACCATATAAAAGGGAATTTCTTGCAGAATAAAATGTGCATGACCGTTTGCAAACAAAATTAAAAAAAAATGAACGCTCTATTTTACAAATTGCACTTTTTATATGCATAAAACCGCAAAATCCGCCGGGAAACAAAATTCATTAAAAAACAACTCGATTTTTTAGCCGCTTAAAACTTAATTTTATTTCATTAGAATTAAAAAACCGATCTATCTGTGTACTTAAAATTCTTTTTAAAAATTCAGATTAAAAAGGTCAAAATTTAGATGAAAATTCGTTGAGTTTTTCTAAGTTCTGTATAATGTTTGACTTGTATAGTTTGGATTAACGCATGAACCATATTTTTATAAAAAGATAATAAAAAAAAATTTAATCGAAAAACATTGCAAACATTAAGCAAAAAACATCATGCACTCACTTTTTATTGCCAGTCTATGTACATTAGGGTGGTCCAAAAAAAAATATACCCGTAAAGTTTTCCATGTATTTTATATGGGGAAAAAATAACTTTTCGTAGAAATGGTATAGAATAGTTAAAAATCAAAATTTTTCTATCGGAAAACTCTATTTATCTTCAGGAGATTCCCAATAATAATACCCAATTGTTTATTTAACCATTTTTTCATTCCAACTATAATTTATAGGTCCGCCAAAAACCCCGAAAAATGCANGCTCCGCCCGAACTTAAACTTTCTTACTTGTTTGCTTAATATTTGCAATGTTTTTCAATAAAATTTTTTTTATTATCCTTTTATAAAAATGTGCTTCATGCTTTAATTAAAACTATACAAGTCAAATTTTTAAGCTTTGTACAGAACTTAGAAAAATTCAACGAACTTTCGTCTAAATTTTGACCTGTTTAATCTGAATATTTAGAAAAATTTTGAGTACCTACGCAAATACATATATCGGTTTTTTAATTCTAAGAAAACAAGTGTAAGTTTTAAGCGGCTAAAAAATTGCGTTGATATTTAATGATTTTTTATTGCTGACTGCTGTTTGCACTTTTGACCATATAAAAGGGAATTTCTTGCAGAATAAAATGTGCATGACCGTTTGCAAACAAAATTAAAAAAAAATGAACGCTCTATTTTACAAATTGCACTTTTTATATGCATAAAACCGCAAAATCCGCCGGGAAACAAAATTCATTAAAAAACAACTCGATTTTTTAGCCGCTTAAAACTTAATTTTATTTCATTAGAATTAAAAAACCGATCTATCTGTGTACTTAAAATTCTTTTTAAAAATTCAGATTAAAAAGGTCAAAATTTAGATGAAAATTCGTTGAGTTTTTCTAAGTTCTGTATAATGTTTGACTTGTATAGTTTGGATTAACGCATGAACCATATTTTTATAAAAAGATAATAAAAAAAAATTTAATCGAAAAACATTGCAAACATTAAGCAAAAAACATCATGCACTCACTTTTTATTGCCAGTCTATGTACATTAGGGTGGTCCAAAAAAAAATATACCCGTAAAGTTTTCCATGTATTTTATATGGGGAAAAAATAACTTTTCGTAGAAATGGTATAGAATAGTTAAAAATCAAAATTTTTCTATCGGAAAACTCTATTTATCTTCAGGAGATTCCCAATAATAATACCCAATTGTTTATTTAACCATTTTTTCATTGCAACTATAATTTATAGGTCCGCCAAAAACCCCGAAAAATGCAATAGGGCGACCAACTAAAAATCGTTAGTATTAAAAAAGGGTTAAATAAACAATTGGGTATTATTATTGAAAGTCGTCTGAAGAGAACCAGAGTTTTCCGATCGAAAAATATTGATTTTCCAAAATTCTATACCATTTCTACGAAAAGTTTTTTACATGGAAAACTTTGAGCGCTTTGAGCGTCCTCTGAATATTATTTGATTTCAAAATAAAAAAATACTGATATACTTTTTTTCGATATAGCACAATCTAGGGGTGAGAGCAGTACAATTCCGACTTTACTGTTTTTGGACCNCGAAAAATGCAGTGGGGCGACCAATTAAAAATCGTTAGTATTAAAAAAGGGTTAAATAAACAATTGGGTATTATTATTGAAAGTCGTCTGAAGAGAACCAGAGTTTTCCGATCGAAAAATATTGATTTTCCAAAATTCTATTCTACGAAAAGTTTTTTACATGGAAAAC